GGGCCCGTAGAAGATGTAATGGTTACATTGCTGGTCTCCCACGTAGTCTACTGTTGTCCAAGTCCTGGACCCGGCAGCTTGATACTCATGCCAGGCACATGTGCATGCGTGCCCAAAATCCCGAGAGGAAAATAGAGGAGAAGGGACTGCAGCATGGCCATCCCCCCGGGGGGGTGATTTCTTGCTTTTTGTCTCTCAGTCTCTGTCACTCTGGTAAGCACATGCACCCTTATACCAAAAATCTCTTATGAAAAAAAGAGTCCTGGATTCCAATCCATCCCTGTCTCCCACTCGATTTGAGATCTTGTATGAGCCACATCCCTTCCATGGCTTCCCTATCTTTCTAGTCACTGTTGTATTTCCAAGGCTCCACACATGGCATGGGACACAGTAGCATCTTAGCCTTAGTTTGGTTTGTGGAGATAAAGTTTATCCAGAAAAGACATACACACACACACAGATACAGAGAGAGAGAATTAAGACAGATAGGGGGTGACTGATTGACTATGTGGTTGACAGTCACAAGATATTCTTTTTTCAAGATAATTCCAGGTTAGATCACAAATCCAATGGACTACCATCGCTGCCAACAAGTTGCTTCAGACAGCTGCAGTTAATGGACTTTCACCAAATCCTGTCCCTATCCCCATCTCCATAAGAGGCTCCTCTGTTGGGACCAGCAGATGGTGTGGTGGTTAAGACGCTGGACAGTCCCATATGGCAGACTGGGGTTCGAGTCCTGGACCTGGTGGCTTGCTCTTGCTCTTTTTCTCTCTCGTCAAATTTAAAATAATAATAAATAAAATAATTCGTTAAAAAAAAAAAAAAAGAAGAGGCTCCTCTGTTACCTTTGTCCAATGTAAACTCTTTCAGAACAACTTACATGTATTGTAAGCCTTTCCCAAGTATTAAAGACCTTTGCCTTTTCAGGGTCTGTGGCCATGTTTAGTATTTTCATCCAGCCATGCCATGGTGGGTCCAAATATATGCCCCAGGATCTGACCCTTATTTGATGTTAGCTTTGTGAGACCAATAAACTCACATTTTCCTTATAACTACTGCCTCAGAATGGCTCTTTTGGGCTGGACAGGTACATAAATGAAGAAGTGAGTGAATAAATGGGCTATCTGATAGAGACCTAGAGGCAGCCTGCTAAGAGCATCTGCAGACGGCATAAAGCTTGGAGGACTATAGGATTCCTTCCAAACTGGAATTGGAAGCCAGAAACATCTCCTTAAACTCAAAGGATGTACTGAAATGATCTTCACTTGGCAGGGGCCCATATGAGATCTTGCAGTCAGGTTCAGAAAACCACCTGCAGAAGCCTGAAAGGGGGGGGGGGGGGAAACGGGGGTTTTGGGTTTTTTTTTGGGGGGGGGGAGAAACGTGGCTTGTGAGAAAGAAAATCTGACAATGTGAGTTGATGGGGGCTCAGTATGAATCAGCAGACTGAGGTGGCTGTGAGCTGTGCAAATGCCTTCTGAGGCTGCTGCAATAGCAGCTTGGGATCCTGGAGATTGGCATCCAGGGGATCCACCTTGGGCCCTGGCTGTCTGGAAGGGGACCAAGTTGCACTTCACAAAAATCCTTTTGCATGCCAGTAGTAAGAAAATACCAGAATAAAAGAAAGAAAGGAGGGACGGGGTGAGGGGTAGAAGCGTGACAAGAACCACGAAGGTCCTAAAATCCCTCTCCTAAGGGATGGAAGAAGGCAGAGAAAATCTTGCTGCCCATGAAGTAGGCTCGACTGTTCCCCTCATTCATTCTGGAAGTGAAGAAACTGGTGTCCGAGAGGTCAGGAGACTGGCTAAGGTCACTTGTCCTCTTTGCAGAGTTCAAGCGTGAACCCCAACAGTTTGACATCCAGAATTCCTGGTCTTACCTTCTGCCCTCCACTGACACCTGTGCTGATGAAATCAGACTCTCCAGGAATTTCTATTTCTAAAAAGGCTCTTTAGGCAATTCTAATGCCCAGCTTAGTCCAGCTCAGTGTAGAACAGAGCCCTGGGGACTAACTAGCCCAGGTGATGCTTAACAGCCAGTTTAGTTCTGAGCCTTCCCATAGAGCTCCCCAGAGCAGGAAGCAGCCAAGAGCTCCAGTTCTGGCACATAGTAAGTGGTGAAGACATATATGTACAGTGATCACCCAGCATGCACCAGGATGTGGTGTGAATTTGCCTCTCCTGGACACCTCCCTCAGATAGCCACTGACACCCTCCTGATAAATGTGCATGGGGTGGGTGCAGAAGCCTGGCCCTGAGAAACCAGGTCCATTGAGGCCAAAGCCCATATCCTTGACTGCTAGAACTAACTCACAAGGAAGGGATGGGAAGATGGGGTCAGGGGTCAGCTCCTCCAGGGGATAAGGACAGGCATTAACAAGGCAAGAGACTACCCCCAAATGGAGGGGTGGGGGACTCCACCTCCAGTGAGAACTTCCTGCATCCTGCCCAGACTAAGGAAAACTCAGCAGGCCCCAACTCCCCTGGGACTCTACAGTCACAGAAACACAAAGCCCAGGGCTCTCAGTTGCCCTGGTAACAGCGGGTCCTACTAGGAGGAAAACAGTCTCTTAAAGGCTTAGGAGGGTGGATATTTCCTTTGACAGAGAGCAGGCCCTGACCTGCTCCCAGCAGCCCCTCTCCCCTTCCTGCCTGCCAGACTTTGAGGTAGAGCTGGGGCCCCTCACCTCAGCAATTCTCCTAATGGGCGGCGGGGTGGGGCGTGCAGGAAGTAGGATCTTGGTTTTCTTTTCTCCTCTTGCTATGGACTGTTAAAGTGAGAAAGAGGCAAAAAGTGGAAAGCCTTAGTGAATAACCTCCTGGAGATGGCCCTCTGGTCCAAAGAAGCCTACCCTTGTAGGATCCACACACAAGCAAACTCAAGTGGAGGCAGGCACCCCCAGAAATTCCACTCTTTCTCCCCACCTATTCAGTAGAAATGAGGCCTGTAGGGTATGGGCCAGGCCAGAGAAAGTAGAGCCCGGACGCTCCGATCTTCTCCCCTCCTAGTTTAGCCCCTCCGCATCTCTCCCTTGAACTACTACTTTAGCCTCTCTGCTGGTCTAAAGAGCCTAGTTTAGTCTCTGCCCCTTCTAAGGAAACCACTTTCCACATGCCCAGAAGGAGTCATTGTCTTCTGAGCTCACAGACCTGGTCTTGTTGCTCCTATACAAAAACCCATCAGTGGTTCTCC